AGTTCAGCAGTATGGATAGAGCGTGCAACACACGCCGGCACCACTAAACACTATACATGCCTCGTCGGGAGCCTACACAGGTTGTCGCATCCCGCAATGATAGCATACAAGAGTCGACACGTGCTCCTCATATGCATATGCGAGGTTAGTTGTGTGTTCCGTGAAGAACACAGAGCCGTCTCACAACCCTAGTCGGGAGGTGTATTGGGCCGGTACTCCGGCGAGTTTAACGATGACATGCGTCCTTTGACGCTGGCGATTGCAAACACGCCCCCTTTGACACTGGTACATATTTCCTGACCGACACACGCTCATCCTGCGAAAATTATCTGCGCGTCGCTCCGAAACCCCACAGCACTGCGATCGCCAATCAACGGCGCCATAGCTGTAGAAGTCCGCGTTGCCGTGGCGTTGAGGATCCTGGCTGGCGCTAGTTACTGGGATGTTGCCCTCATGTTTGGCTTGTCGGTGCCGACCACATACCAGATCTTATGGTCGGTGATCGACGCCATCAACAAGACGCCTGCGGTTGGGGCATTCGACTTCCCCCTGACCGAGGAAGGCTGCGTGCGAAATGCCAACATATTCAAGGTGAGGCCTAACGGTGGTCATTACTGCTGCTGTGAGTTATTATTGGCGGCATTCTCTTGACCAGCCGCGGGATGTCGTTTTTTTTTAAATTACGTCTGGCGTTTCCAGCCGTTTTAGTGTAGGGAGGCCTATACACAGCGTTCGACGGTAACGCTGTCGTCCCCGGCGGATACAAGTTCGGATTGTCATCGTGGTCAGCATGCCTACAATCGAAAAACAACCCCCGGGTTCCGGGTGGTTCGCCAGCTGTTGGTCTTTGTACAAATGACCTTTATACTAATGAATGTTTTTTTTGTGTCAGCATTAGTGTATGCTGGCCGTGTTGGTTCCGCACCGCAACAGTGCCCCGGCAACTGCTTTTAGTCAACCACGTGGCTCTGAGATACCCTGGTACGTTTTTACCGCTGAACCTGACGCAATAGTAGGATTAGCAAACACGGTATGTGCACCGTTGCTGGTGATGGCGCTTTCGCACACGACATCAACCCACACAACGTACAGCCGAACGCAATTTGCCGAAGTTCGTCAACGTCCATCTCTCGACTAATTTTTATCCCCTTCCTGGCACTGCTACTTTCCCGCCCTCGTGTCTGCCGTCTACAAATGCAGGAGAAGAGCACCGATGGCATTTTCTCCTGGGTCGTCGCCGCCGTGGATGGTCTGTTCATCAAGGCCAAGGCTCCGTGTGCGAAGGACACCGCCAACGTCATTGCGTACTACTCCGGCCGCAAGTCCGCGTACGGCATCAACGTACAAGCGATGTGCACCGCCGACTACCGGTTCTGCGCAATGTCGGCGATCTCTCCAGGCTCCACGAACGACTGGGTGGCATGGAATCGATCTTCCCTCGCCAAGGCCGTCGCCCGCTTGCCCGCCGGATTTCACATCATTGGTGACGCCGCCTACCCCATCGGAGAAAAGCTTCTGACGCCGTCCCCTGGGAGGCTCCTGCCGCCGGGTGAGGACTCGTTCAACTTCCACCTGAGCCAGCTTCGTGTCAAGATCGAGCAGAGCTTCGGCATCCTGGTTTCGACTTGGGGCATTCAGTGGCGACCTCTCCGTGTGCAGTTCGGAGGACGCGCGGATCTCATCACGGCTCTTTTTTATCTGCACCACTTCCTGCAAGACGAGAAGGTAGCGCCGAACCAGCTTGCAGAGGAGGACTCCCGCAGCGGGCGCAACCGGCCGGCCCTCTGTGCTACGCAGCGCACCTTGCCGGCTGGGTGGCAAACGGAGCAGCCGGCTCCTTCGAGGAGCGGTGAGACCCCGGCCCGAGCGGCTATCCGCACGGCC